CGAACAATTTGCTTAACGACGAATACATTAATCTTGAATACATATATATATATATATATATATATGTATGTATATCACACAATAATATTTATAATAATAACCAAGGGTAAATTGCACTTTTGGTACTCAAACTAAGGTTCATTTCAGAATCAGTATCCACTTTTTAATAGTTGCAAAATCAATACCCAAACTTTTATTCCGTTTGTGACGTTAGTACCCGACGTTAGTTGTCCGTCAAAAGGCTGTTAGTCGTTAACGATTTTGAGTAACATCGCAGTTAGGGTTTGTATGCAGTCATTTTTCCCCAATTTCTCGCGTTCCTTGAAAAAAACCCTAACTTTTCAATTTTTTTTTTCAATTCATTCATCAAAATGATGATCCAACCCTCAAATCGAAGCCCAATTTTAGAATTTCCAATTGAATTCTTCTAATTGCTGCTCGTTTTCTCCAATGTTCAGCTCGATTACTCAAATTGGAGCTCGACTCTTCAAATTTCACCGTGATTCCTCAAATTGCAGCCTGAATCTTCAATTTGCAAGTAAAGTCCAGTAATTGCCGCCTGTGTATTTCAAATCCCACCAGATTATTGAAATTCCAAATCGATTCTATGGCGAAAAGAGATCGAGCAGATACAAAAGGAACTCCAGTATATGGTATGTTTCATGTAAATTTTGCTTTAACACTACTTAAAGTCATGTAATATGCTCGATTTTGCTTTAACACTGCTTGAAAATAAGGTTTTAATTTTTTTTTATTTTTTTATGTTGCCCAGATGAGGATACGAAGTTCACATTGAAATTTTTCCATGGAGGGGAGATGATTGAAAGCTTGTCAAGGTATTACAGAGGGGGTTTTGTAGATTATTTTGATGGTGTTGATGGGGACATGTTGGGTCTTATTGAAATGAATGATTTTGCCAAACAATTAGGTTATGAGGAGCAAAATATTAGGTTTTGGCATCAATATGGTCATTCATTGTATAGGGGAGCAAAAATCTTGTCAAGTGATTCTGATGTGCTTGATATTATGAAATTTATTCCTCTTAATAGAGAGGTTCTCATTTACATTGAACATTTAAATCATCCACAACCTATGCAGCCTTCTAGTTTGCCTTCTAGTTTACCTTCTACTTTGCATGAAGATGAAGAACCTGTTCTTGATTTTTCCTTTTTTGATGACATTAACACAACAACACCACAAACAGAAGGACACTTTGATCTAATTGTAGAACATAATAGTGATGGTCATAGTGACAGTGATGATAGTGACGTGTTAATTGATTCTGAGTATGACATGATAGAGGATGATAGGTTGTATGAGAAATATGTTGATCATGATGTTGAGTTTGTTGGCTTAGGTAAGAGTTCCCACCCTCTGAAAAACATGTTGGGAGATGAAGTTAGTTCTAGATTAGAAGGGGACACATTAGAATCAGTCAATAGTAGTGATGAGCTTGAGAGTTTGGTTGGTTCTGATGAAGATGACTTGTGCATGCAAAAGTACCCCAAGTACAACCCTACTACAGATAGTAGGAAGCCAGTCCTTAAATTAGGACTGGGTTTTAGTACCAAAGCAGAGGCAAAGTCTGCCATTGAGACTTACTGCATTAGGGTTGGGAAGTCAATTTTCTTTGATAGGAATGACAGCAGAAGGCTTAGGGCAAGGTGCAAGACTGATGGTTATGAATGGAAAGCATATGTTGCTCCAATGCAACATGGCAGTACTTGGCAAGTTAAGGTGTTCAATGATGAACACACTAACAGTGCTTGGAGCTATAATAATTCTGCTATAAAGTCAACTTGGGTGGGTAAACATTTTATGAAAGAAGTAAAAAAAATAAAAAAAAATCCTAAGATACAAATAACAGGGTTTATGGAACATGTGTGTTCTAAATTGAAGGCAAACACTCCAAACATCAGGCTTATAGGGCCAGAATTGCTGCCAGAAGGCTCCTTGAGGGTGATGTTTATTGTGCTGAGTTACTGAGGTGTAATCCTGGGTCAACTGTGGTCCTCAAGTTAATTGAAAATGAGGGTGTGGTCAATCAGTTTCATAGGTTTTATGTGTGTTTTAAAGCTTGTAAGGAGGGTTTCAAAGCTTGTAGAAAGGTGGTTGGGGTTGATGGGTGTTTCTTGAAGGGGTGCTATGGGGGTCAGTTGTTGACTGCTTGTGGGATTGATCCCAACAACAACATGTTTCCAATAGCATGGGCAGTTGTAGAAGCTGAGACCAAAGATTCATGGCTTCGGTTTTTATCTCTGTTGGGGGATGATATTGGCATAAGTGAGGCTGAGATGTGGACCTTCATGAGTGATAAACAGAAGGGACTAATACCAGCTTTTGAGAGTTTGTTCCCAGAGGAAGAAAACAGATTTTGTGTTCAGCACCTTCATAGCAACATGAAGAAGGATGGTTTTTTAGGTTTGGCAATAAAGAAGGAACTGTGGGCTGCTGCAAGATGTACTAGGGTGGAAGAGTTCAAAGTAAGAATGGATAAATTAAAGTCTGTTGATCCTAAGGCATATGAGTGGCTAGTGAAGAAGCCTCCAAATCAGTGGTCAATATCTCACTTTAGTTTAACACTTAAATGTGATATATTGACCAATAACATGTGTGAGAGCTTTAATTCAATTATTCTGTCTGCTAGAGAAAAAAACATCATTGGGCTGCTTGATACATATTTCAGCTTCTCGAGGGATGAGACAAGGGGGTTTGCGAGGAGTATGCAGGCGCATGGTTGGCGGGTGCACGGGTGTACGCCTCCTCACGCACAACCGACACCAATGGTATAGTAAAATTCAAATCAAATGCCAAAGTGCACCGCAGTTCCCCTAAAACAATCAACAATAACTCCGAACGAGCCTCACACCAAAAGACAATAGCCAAAATCCTCCAAATGATCAATATATACTCATGAGCCCCCGATACACCTCGGTATCCTGTCATAAGCCTTCTCAAGGTCAATAAAGACCATGTGCAAGTCCTTCTTTTGGTCCCTATATCTCTCCATCAACTGTCGTATTAGGAAAATCGCCTCCATGGTCGACCTTCCAGGCATAAACCCAAATTGGTTTTGGGTCACATTCGTCACTCGTCGTCTCTTCCCACGATGCGACGAGGCGGTGTTGCAGGCCATGGCAGAGGAGGCCAGTCTATCGATCATCAATAGGGAGTCCTAAACGGTAGTAAGATCGGGCGATTACCCTCGTTTCAAAAATCTTGAATTACATCGAGCCCTGTCTGTCTGTCTTGCACCCCACTCATAAGACCAACTCCCTTACCCGAGGTACGAGCCGAATGAGGAAGACTAATCAAGAGTTGGAATACAGAATCCGAGCCCCTTTTTTCGGGCATTCGTAAATGGACCGCCCTATCAAGGCGGAAGCTGCGGGTTCGAGCCCCGCCAGTCCCAACAGATCCAATATCTTACTGCTCATGGAAAGACCTAAAATTCGAAAGTATGTAGATCGCGAGGGACAAAAGAGAGCTCCTTCCGGCTATACTATAGCTGGACAGAAACGATTAATCCCAACCTTCTTGAACTCCTCCCTACTTACTACTTTGACCTCTTTTCTGATCTTTCTTTGAAGTCCAATGTGCATCCAGTAGGAATTGAACCTACGAATTCCCAGTATTCAGAAAAAGTCTTCTTCTCAGAAATAGTCTTTCTCAAATCCGATCAGGGATCTAGCTCGCAATCAGATTCATGACAGAAGTTGAGGAATCTGGGATAATTTGAAGATAATATGCAAATCCCCTGACGCCATTTTCTTTTCGATGGTTCAGGGTCCACATTTCGACCCAACAGGGGTATTCCAATTTCAAATTCCTGGTTGCTAGTTGCTCAAACCCTTGCTTGTTCCTTCGATTCCGGATTCATTCACAACTCCACATAGGGGACGTTAAAAGGAGTGGACGATTGTCTTTTGGCCTAGTTGGTTGCAGATGTTGCGGCAAAGGGTCAAGGTTTGTCCATCTCTGAATTTGAAAGTTATCACTTAGTAGACAAATCGAAGCAGGTCGGCGAGCAATGACACGAAATGCATGCCGTGGTGGCAAAATATAGGTCCGTATATTTCTGAAATTGACATAGGAGGACTCGGTCGAGCTTCGTTTGCTTCTTTTCCTGCTTCTGAACAGGGATTGGGCATTGGTCCTCGAATCTAGGACCGACTCCAGTTAATACCTGAGCCGAAGACCTGAACGCTGGGAAAGCCGAGCGTAATGTTCGTACCAAGGCAGGGGAGGCGGATAGGGATCCGGTTCTTTATGATCGGAGAAAGACACCAGATGATTTTCAATCAATCAAGATTAGGGAGTACTGCTTGCCTTTAACTCCCAGACCGGGGAGCTCACCCGCTTTCTTACTCACTGGCACTCAAACTAGATCCCTTTCGTTTTTTTCCTGTAAGGTCTTCGATAAAATGCCTAAGGTCAATTACCTCTCTCCGAATTTCTATGACTGAACTTCGCAATCCCACAGGAATTGAGAGAATTCAATTTGACTAAAATAGTTTCAGACGCGGAAGAAGGGGAAGTCCGCCTCGAAGGTTGCCCCAACTTGCCACTCGACTAAAAGGAGAGGAGTTGGAGAGGAAGAAAGGTAATTGAGTCGACTTCTAATACGAGGTGCGAAGATGCAGTTTGTCTTGAGACGAAGAGGGCAAGAGCTACACCCTGCCTTTAGTTTGTCCTTCGAGTGCGTGAGGGGAACGAAGATGCTAACCGCTTTACCGATGTTAAGCTCCCCAATAATAGAACCCTACGTTCTTCTTACCTTTTAGCTCAAGCCACCTGCCGGACAGAGACTAGAACGACTCGCTTCGCTTCCCTCTGCCTAGTGGGCTACTCCTCCTTCTACCAATCGCGCATACGAATGGCTGCTGGCTCTTGTGGTGACGGCTTCCTCAGTGATGGCAAGGATGCATACCAACAGGGAGCAAGCAAAGAAATGAGATGGTGGTATCTGTCCTAGGATAAAAATGATTTTGGATGGAAACATGAAGAAGGCAGAAGAACTCATTCATATGAGGTCTGATGAGTGGAATTTTCAAATCATGGGGCCTTTTGAACAGCACACTGTTGATGTTCTTGGAAGATCTTGTTCTTGTAGGAAGTGGGAATTGACTGGGCTCCCATGTAAGCATGCTATTTCTGCCATTTGGTGTAGAAAAGAAGAACCAGGGTGGTATGTTGATCATTTATACACTGTTGAAACATATAGAAAGGCATATGAACTGCCAATATTAGGGATAAATGGTCCTGATTTGTGGCCTAATGTTGAGCTTCCCCTACCTATCCCTCCTGTAATTGTGAAGAGACCTGGAAGACCTAAGAAGGTAAAGAGAAGAAATCCAACTGAGCCACCAAGTTCATTGCCTCATAATCCCCTGAGATTGAAAAAGCACCAGAGGAGTGTGACATGCAGAGTTTGTGGAGAACATGGCCACAATGCTAGAAAGCATAAGAAGGCTGACCAAAATGAAGAACAAGAGGAGATCCCAGTGAGTGAACCTCAGCCTCCACTAGCTACTGACAATGTTTTCTCAAGTCAGTCACTTGCACCAACACCTGCAAACAACAACAATGATGCTGAAGCTAGCAGAAATAGGGTAATTTACCCTTTTTATCTTCTTTTTTAATTGTACCTCATCCTCATTTACTATGTTTTTTACTCTGTATTTTGATTTAAACTTGTCAAATTTATTTTGTCTATTTTTATAGTCTGAGGAAAAGAGAAGAACAACAAGGAAGAGAAAAAGCAGTCAGTTGGATGGAAATGGCAATGAGGATCAAGGACAAACTGTCAATGTGAGTTATTGTGTTATAGAAGTGAGAATTTTATTTTAGTTGGATTGAATTTTGAGTTCTTTGTGCAAAATAATTCTTTAATCACTTGTACAAATGCAGGCCACTCAATCTGAAGGAGTCCCTTGTCCTGTTGTGGTGAAAAGAGTTGTGAATTACATAACAGTCTCCAACATCAGAGCTACTTTGAGGCCAAGGAATGGGGCAGCTCCTGGTAAGGACAAGGCTGGAAACAAGTAACTCTGGATTTGTGTTGGCTTATACTGAAATTATGTTGTTTGACTATTTGGATTTATTTTGTTTTAATTGTGTTGTGATGGGATAATGATATCTTTGATGATTCTGGCTTGACTGTGGATTTCTATTTATGATGATGGATTTTTTATGATGGATTGTGGTTTGAACAAGGTTGTGGAATGTGTTTTTGTGGTGATTGACTATGGATTTTTATTTATGATGGATTGTCAAGATAATGTTGATTGAGTTCATTTTCTTTGATTGAGTTCAGACAGAGGATAATATTGCATTTGGTTAAGTAATTTGTAATGGGATACATATGTTGGAAAATGAAAATCCTGCTTTCATTGACTTGGAAAATGCTGATTACATAAGTTGTATTTGCTAACTGCTAATTTTTGCTACTTAGTACATAGAACACAATTACTACAAGTAGAAAAAAGACTCCTACTTTTACAATGAAATTTTTCTTTTCATTTTTCAATGCAACTAGTTGTTTTTCCAAACTCTTATTCTTGCTATTGGCTTTCCTCAAATCAGCTTCCAATTTTCCTTCTCTTATCATGAAGTCATTGACCTCATCCTCAAGCTTGTTGATTTTTGAAAGCAGTCCGGGTATTATTTGTTTGGAACGAGCACACATTTTCGGATCCAACCACTTGTAAAATCCACAATATTCAATTGTCTGCAAGAGAGAATAATACAATCATAAATTTTTTTATGAATACGATAAAAAATAAAAATCGAAAATAATACCCCGTATTTTGGACATGCCCAATATCTTCTTCCGGGATTGGTTTTTGTCCATGATGACTTCAGTGGGAGCTCTTCACCAAAAGGACACCAACATTGTTGGACAGGAAAGTTGTTATTCCAAGAAGAAGAACTGCTAGAATTACTTCTCATTTTTTTCGGATTTTTCCTATTTTCTGTTGAAAGCTGCGATTTTTGATGGAAAAATATGGCTACATTAAGCCACATATATATAGACTACAACAGGCACGCAAAAATAACACATTTCCCTCCATTTTAGCAGCTAACGGTGACGACTAACGGTCTTTTGACGGACAACTAACACCGAGCACTAATGTCGCAAACAGAATAAAAGTTTGAGTATTGATTTTGCAACTATTAAAAAGTGGGTACTGATTCCGAAATGAACTTTAGTTTGGGTACCAAAAGTACAATTTACCCAATAACCAATTGATAACAATTAAACAATTTAGACATTTACTATAAATAATAACAATATTTATTTATAAATATCCAGAAATTAGACAAATAATTAAATTAGTTCGAACGAAATAATTTAACATTATATTATTCGCAAATAATATAATGCGATGACTAATATACTTAATCGAGCAACCATAATAAATAACCAGAATAATATCAATAACAATAATAATAATCTGGAAGAATCATATAATGCCACATATATTCACGAAAATTCTCATATTCGAACGGGGCGCTACATAAATGCTTCCTGTGCTATTATGACATTATCCATAAGCTGTCTACCCTCAAGAAAAGCAGTCTGATGGTCACTAATGCAATAATATAAACAAGCTTTCAATCTCTGAGCCAATACTTTTGAGATGACCTTATAAATGACAGTGCAGAGGCTGATTGGTCTAAATTGACTGAGAGAATCTGGATTGGAGAACTTTGGAATCAAAGAGAGTATAGTGTGATTCCAGTATTTTAGAATCATACCTGATTGAAAGAAGCTAATGATAGTTGCCAGAAAGTCATGTTTGACCAGCTCCCAAAAGTGTTGGTAGAAAAATGAGCTCATCCCTTCCTCACCAGGAGCCTTATCAGCAAACATTTTAAATAAAGCCGACTTGATTTCATCTTTAGTGGCTGGTTTCAAAAGGGCATCATTCATCTCCATGGTGATTAATTGGGGAATTAAGTGAAGAATAGAATCTCCACCCCAATTGCCTCCTCAAGAGAATAAGTTAGAGTAGAAATCTGATATGTGCAGCTCAATTTCTTTTTGAGTGGTCAGAATTCTCCCATTAGAGGATACCAGTCTAGTGATTGCATTTTATTTTCTTCTTTGAAGAGTGAATGCATGGAAAAACCTGGTGTTGGCATCTTCTTCCTTGAGCCACCTCTGTCTGGATTTCTACTGCAATAAAGCTCTTCTTGTAGGTGAGCTTTGTTCAGAGATCTTTTTGTACTCATCCAGCTATCCCATTTGTTGCCAGTTTTATCTTCATTCAGAACTTCCAACTGATGTGTCAGCTCAGCAATGAGTGCTTGATTCTGCGATTGGAAAGAAGAACTCCATTTTAGTAGGGCTAGCCTAGTGTTCTTGATTTTCTCTTTGAGTCTGAAGAAAGGAGTTCCTGAGACAGGAATGTGCCAAGCTTGTTGAACTGTTTCCTCACATCCATCTTTGTCAATCCATCTTCTGTCAAAATTGAATCTGGCTTGCTTCCTGCCAGAACGCAATCCCATGTTGAGGACAAGAGCAGAATGATCTGAAGAACTTCTAATCACATTAGTAACTGAAGCATTAAGATATGTTTGATGCCAATCCAGAGAGCCAAAGGCTCTATCCATGTTGTCAATGAAAGAATTGAGAGGTTGGAGACTGGCTGAGCTTCTAGGAATACCACCTTGCTTATCTGAATCCGTACAAATGTCATTCCAGTCCCCAATAGCAAACCACCAGTTGCCCTAGTTAGGCTTATCTAGAATTAGTTCATACCATTGAGCTTCTCTGGTGGTCCTGCAGGAGCTTAGATATACAAGAATACCCCATTGGCGGTTACAAGCAGGAAGAGAGAATTGTACTACAATAAAGAAGTCTTACATACAATTTGCGGAATAACAACATTCGAATCCCAAAACAATTAGCTTGAAAGTTTGAAAATATACATATCCATTGGACATATTGCACTACAAACATAAATAGTCTTTGGTAACACCATAAAAATGTTATCTAATATCCACAAAATGTTACTATAGACAATAGGTAACACAATTTGTGGCGCTACAGTTGCCTGTGCTACCTATTGTCTACGGTAACATAATGTAGCTTTTGGTGACACTTATTTTATGTGTTACATTACATAACCTATTGTATCATTTTTAAGTAACGCATTTCAAGTGTTATCTATAACAATTTCATAACACTTTCTTACTTTTTTTTTTAGAAACGATAGGTTTTATAGCTCCAAACATTTGTACATGAGGTGGGGCTAAATAGCCCAATGACCAGCCGAGCCTGGCAGAACAAATCTGTTCAAAGAATAAAAACCAATAGAAAGGATCAAAATCCATGGCATATTCCAACATAGAACCCAAGGACTTGATTCTATCTAACCAAAAGCAAAACAGCTTGACCACTGGCACACACCCTAGCCAAGCTGGACTACCACTAACCAGCACTACTACCCACAAAAACCACTGCAGCAAAAGGCAACTAACTACTCAAAACAAGCCAAGACCAAAGCAACCCAACAACAAAGCAAAACACACAATACTACTAACAACAGAAGCAGAACAAAACAACCAGCTACATCAGACTTTAATACTCTGCACATTGATGAATTCCAGCCACTCTTCCACTACTACATTCACCACAGCCATCTCGGCTCTCCATAAGCCTTGGAAAACCCACAAATTCCTTGCTTTCCAAATCCACCAAAGCAAGTAAGCTGTGAGTTAAATTCTAGTCTCATTGTTTGTTGTCATAGGGATAGAGCATAAGTTGGTCCACCAATGAGAAAAACTTTCAGCATGGAGATCTAAGCCATCCCATTGAATGGGTGCCAGCTTCCAGATCAATATGGTCTTAGGACAAGTGAAGAACATGTGGTGGACTATTTCTGGTTCCTCTCCACAGAGTTGGCATCTTGCATAAATAGGAATTCCCCTCTTAGCAATGCAAGTGTTGACTGGCAATATGTTATTCACACACTTCCAAAGGAAGTGCTTAATCTTCACTTTAATTTTCAGTTTCCACATCCTCTTCCTCATCTTCATGACTTCTGCTTGCCCTTTACTTGGTTCTGCTATATCAAGTTGTTTCCATTTTTCATTCACCAGATAATCATATGAGGCAGCCACTGAGTGCTTTCCATTTTTCCCACAGTGCCACACCAATCTGTCCTCCTCTCCTGGCTGAAGACTTGTGATTTTGAGGATTGCAGCTTGCTCCTCCTCATTGAAGAGCTCTTGGATAATGTTCATCTTCCAGTTCCTCCCAGTAACATCAATTAAGTCCTTCACCTTGAGAATGTTGGAATTTGGCTAAGGCCTGCTTCTGGGTTTGAACCCAGGTAGTTCAGGGACCCAAGGGTGCTCATAGATGTTGATTTTACTGCCATTCCTCACCTCATATCTCAGCCCCATAGTGAAGGAGTCCCTGACTTTGAGCCAACTATGCCAGAGCCATGATCCATTTTGCTTTTGCTTTACAGAGAAGAAGTTGTCCTTGGGAAAATATTTAGCCTTCATGCACCTGCTGACTAGTAAGTTGGGCTGTGTGAGAATTCTCCAAAGTTGTTTTGTAATCAGAGCTTTATTCATCAGTTGGATATCCTGGAATCCCACACCTCCCATCTCTTTAGGCAATGTCATCAAGTTCTATGCCTTCCAGTGCAATTTTTTCCCTTCTACATTTCCTGTATTCCACCAAAAGTAGGCAAAGAGTTTTCAAGGTGTGCACACACAACTTTAGGCATTAGAAAACAGGACATTGAATACACAGGTAGAGCACTAAGCACAACTCTAATCATTATTTCTTTCCCAACAGTAGAGAGAAATCTATTTTTCCAGCTTAAAATTTTCTTCCCTGTAGCACAGTGATGTAAGAAAAGGTGTCCACTTTATTCCTCCCAATGCCAAGTGGCATACCCAAGTATCTGGAGGCGGTTTGTGGTTTAATTCCCAGAAGGATATTACAGATGGAAGATTTAACACTGGGAGAAGTATTTCTGCTGAAGAATATGGAGGATTTGGAGAGATTAACTTTTTGTCCTGTG